ATATTATTTTTTGTTTAAAGTTTTAAAAATTATAATAAAAAAAATTGCTTGATTTTATTAACTTAATATTATAAAATAAAAATTTTATTAATATTTATTTTTTTAAGAGGATGTTAATCATAGTATAGTAGTTGAATTGTTATCTCTCAAGTGACAGGTCTAATATTCAAATCTCATCTATAACAAAATTTGAAAAATTATATCTGTGTTATTGCAAACTGTTTCTTGATGATCAGTTGGATTAGTATATTTGTAACCTTAAGTTGTACTATCTTAAATAGGAGTTTGAAATATCTATATAAAATATAGCATTACATATACATAGAAACATGTATAATTAGTATTATATAAGACTTCAGTACAAACTCATGATAAGATTACTAGGCACAATAAACTAAGAAACCAAAAAGTAAAAGCCTACTTGGAAATTCTCAAATAAAAAGGTAGTATAAAATTTTATTGGTATAATTAAACTGATAAAAACCTATGAAACACCCCAAAGAGATAGGCAGATAAACTGAATGCCAAAATGTGTAAAGGGGCATATAATCAACCAGACTGCTGGAATTACTAATAAAAAAATATATATATGTATATCACACCAGGCTATCTGAATTGAAAGTTAGGGGAGTCTTGTCAGTTCTGAGTAGTGATTAGTAGAGAATGATAAAGAAGACATTATAAAATAGGTATTGAGATTTTAGTAAACTTTACAAGAGTAAAAATAGTATAACATAATAGTTAAACAAGTAACTTTTATAATTGCAAGTATTAGGCAACTATAGAAGTTATATAAATCTAAGTTAGTTATATATAAAATATTATGAGTAATAGAATAGTGATGCCAAAAGCTTGTAATCAGTAACAGATATGTCAATCAACTACCTTAAATAGGTTTACTAGCAGTATATACTGTATTTGCCATATATTTTATATTCTATACATTAGATAAATAATGAGTATCAGTAGAATCAAGAATATAATTAAAATAATTAGTATAAACATTATTATTAGTATAATTAGTATTAACATTATAAATGATATATCATGAATAAAGTGTATAATATGTCTTATATAAATAAAAGTATATAATAAAGGCTTTGAGCTCTTCAAGAACAGTTCAGTTAGTTTTTATCATAAATTTACTCCTAATAATTTTTCTGTTTAATTATATTATAAAACCTATGATCATAAACACACTACTCACCAAATTTAACTGCCTCTTATTGACTAAGCAATTCATAAGGTACACAACATATCCATTTGAGAAGTGACTAAAATACTGATGCCAATTTAATAGTATTATTTTGGTAGTAACTATAAGATTCTGAATAAAGAGAACCTTGATATAAGAACTGTAAAAAAAGAATAGATTAGATTAAAGAGAGAATAAAAGAATTCTGCCAACAACTAGAAAAAATAAACAAGAGACTTACTGCCATTACCATCCAGATTGAAGAATGCTTAAGGCCCCAATCAATATGTTGGAACTTCAGACCAACCTACAGAAAAAAAGAAGAGAAGTTAGAAGTAAAAGTGAAAAAAATTAAGAAAAATAAAAGAAACATATTACAAATACCCAATTCACTATATAATAATTCTGTCTAAAGATTTTGTTTCCAGAAACTTATATTCAAAGCTATGTCAAAAGAGACATCTACTTACAATAAATAATACTAGAACCTACAAAAAAAAGAAAGGAATAAGTAAGTAAGATAAAAACAAAGCTGAAATAATTCATTTATCCTGCCTAATTAATACACTTCAAATAATAATATTTAATTATAATTAAACAGAATGAGTTCGAAGAAAAGAAAAGCAGCAAGGATCCAAACTCTGAAGAATTAAAGTTCTTATTAAAAAAGAATAAAATAAATCAGTTAGTAACTTATCAGAAAATAAAAAAATAAGACAAGTGGAAAATACTTTGATAGTGCTGAAAATTTTGAGCCCAATATTGTTAACTTGCTTTTAAAAGCCAGAATTAGAACTGAAAAGAATAAAAAGCAGCCAAAATGGGTAATGCTAGAAGAACTGAAAAAAAAATAGAAAAAAGGCTTATAAATGGTATAGGAATGCTGATGATAATAAAGAAGCTGAAAAATCTTTTTTCAAAAATGCCAATAAGTTCAAAATATATAAAAATCTGTAGAAAGACTATTCAAGTCAAGCTATATATCTTTCCTATATTAAAGAACTGTTCATAAATAAGAAAAAAGATCCTAAAGTGAACAAAAGTTGCACAGACAATAAACCCAATTTTAACAATAATGATGATAAAAAAACTATTATTTTTGAAGAAGATTGAAGAAGGCTAGTTGAAAATAATAAAGAAAATGGAATTAAAAAATATACAGTTAAGGATAAAAAGATGACAAATGAAAAAAATAAAAGGCTTACAGAAAAAGAAACTTCCAAAGCTGAAATAGATGCAATGAATATTGGTAAACATTGTTGAAAAAGAATTAGAGTTAAAAAGATAAACCTAAAGCCTTTGAAAACTATCAAAAATTTGTGAAAATGAGAAATGCTGATGAAATATATTTTGTTGATTATCATTATAAAAATAGAATTAAAGTTAAAAAGGCTAAACAGATTAGAAATAAAAAAGACAAATGAACTAAAGTTGGAAAAGATGAACATAAAACATTCAAAAATTTTTAAAAATTTGCTAACATAAATAATATTAGAGAAACATTTAATATTGGTCATTGTTATGAAAATAAAATTGAAGTTGAAAAGACTGAACTTAAGAAAAATAATTATAAAGCACTTGGGTAGTATTTGAAAAGTGCTAAAAATGACAATTCAAATAGGCAAAATGGTTTTAGGCCCTATCATGAAGGAGAAATTAAAGACTTAATCAAGCTAAATGAAGAACCTTCTGGAAGTGCAGCTGAAAAAGATGAAAAAGCATTCTTTAAATTTCAAAAACCTGCTAATTTAGATAATGCTAATAGTGCATATAATGTTAGTTATTGTTACTAAAATAGGAATAGAGTTTAAAAGAATAATTGTAAGACATTCAAATATTATAAAAAACTTGCAAACATAAAGCATACTAAAGAAATATATAAGGTTGGACATTGATATTACAACAGAATTAATGTTAAGAAGAATGAATGCCAAGCATTTACTTGATATCTAAAAACAGCTGGCATGAAAAATAGTGATAGAATATTTGAAGTTGACTACTGTTATAGAATGATAGCTAAATAAGTTATTGGAACTAAAGCTTTTGCTGTCTAAATTCATTACTGAATCCTGCTAAAAAGCTTGGACAAAGCCTATAAAAATTGAAACAGAAAGGTTAATGAATTCAAAAAGTTGATTCAAAAAAACTCCCAAGTGATAAAAAAACTATATTTATTTGACTTTAGAGAATTCTTACTATCTGATAAAAGAGAACATAATCTTGGCTTTTGTTTTCAAAATGGAAACCATTTTATAAAGGGAAAATTAAGTAATCAAATATCTGAAATAGTATTTGTAATGTATTAAAGAAATAGTATTATATTGAATCAAGCATATAAACATTGATAAAAATAAAGTTCTCTGATACTGATCTATATATAAACCATATACTTGTGTTTTTGATCTTGGTAGAAAATTATTTCTGTTATTTGACTTTGTCTTATAGAACTCAATCTTAAGTTGAAAAGAAATGTAAGCAATAGGATGGTGGTGCCAGTAATTAGTAATGGATATGTTAATTACCTACCTTAAATAGATCTACTTACAGTATATGCTATATTCACTATATATCATATATCCTATGCATTAGGTAAATAATAAGTATCAGTGAAATCAAGGATATAATTAAAATAATTAGTATAAACATTATTATCAATATAATTAATATAAATGTTATAAATAATATATCATGAATAAAGTATATAACATGTTTTATATAAATAAAAGTATATAATAAAGGCTTTGAGCCTTTTAAGAACAGTTTAGTTAGTTCAAATTATAAATTTGTTCTTAATAATTTTACTGTTTAATTATATTATAAAACCTACAATCACAAACACACTACTTGCCAAATCTAACCACCTTTTATTAGATAAGCTATTCATAAGTTACATAATATATTTGTTTGAGAAGTGACTGAAATGCTGATGCTGGTTTGATAGTATCAATATAGAAGATTCTAGTAAGTTTTCTGTTAAAAATAAACTAGACCTAAGGGTCTCAAAGGTATCATGTACTTTGGATAGGTGTAACCTTAAAAATGTTACTGTAAAACATAGTAGACTACATATGCAAAAGGTTTAAATAGGCAAAACTCATAGTTAACTTACAGGAATAACATCTAGTATAGAACATATATTGTAATATATAGGTAAACTACTTAAATTAGGTACCAAAAGTGCATATGTAGCTAGTTGTAACCTTCAATATAAGGGAGCTTCTAGAGGCACCTGTATTCAAATATATAAATAAAACCATTAATCTACAAAGGCAAGACTTTAACTTAAAAATATATATATATATATTTATTTTTTAAATATTAAACTATATAAGATTTTTGCTAGAAATTTTTATTAATATTTAATTTTTTAAATATTAAATATATGGAATCTTTGCTAGAAATTTTTTTTAAAAAATAGATTTATTATAATTTTTCTAATTAAAAATATTATGTAATAATTACTCAAAGAATAATTTTTTTAGCAAAGATTTTATATATTAAAATAAAAATTAATAATATAGAGGTGTAACAATTTAATAAAATAAATAAGTTATCAACTCCCAAATAGTATGTTAAGTGTTTAAATACTATTGATACCAAAAAATTAGATAATTATTTTTGTCATACTTATATTATAGCAACTATTTCTAATAATTAAGTTAAGATATCTGTAATAATAATTGTATTAATATAACTAGCAGATCATAGATATTTGTATAACTAATTACATAAAGAAATACAAAACAGAGGTAGTCTTATATGTAAAAATTCAAGAAAACGCGATAAACAAATGACTACAATTTACCTACATTATAACGAATTCCTCAAACTGGGAACGGCGAGCGGCGATGACGCCGCATCAAATGAAAGGCGCGCCCTCTTCTGCAATTCGGCAGAGGACTCCGAAAAACGTGATTCACCATAGCGACGGAACAAACTCTTTACTGTAACTTACTTTATATCTCTCTATTATGAGAAGAGCTCACTATAACAATAATAGTCTGTATTTTGACGAACTAGTTCTTTTTGTTATTTAACTCGTGAGTATATTTCAAAATTCTACAATCTTTTATAGCATCGATCGAATTATTATTTATTTGTGTCAATTTGGTTCATGAAAACAGATTCGTTTATAAACCCGAAGTTTACTACAGTATACCGAATTTTTTTGTAATGATCCCTGGACATAACGAACGTGAAATTTTAAATTTATATTAGTTATTAGTTTGTTTTAGAACGCTACATTCTTTTATTATTGGTTCATGAATTCAGATTAGTTTATAAATCCAATTACAGCCAAAGCGGGAAGTTTTAAGAAGAGTTAACCCAGAGATCATTGCAATATCACGTGACAATCATTTGGCCCGAGTTATGGTTAGTTTAGAGGATATAGTTTAGTCAAGTCTGTTTAATTCTGGTAAACAAATGACGTCATGATATGTTTATCATGTAATCGTAGATCACTGGGTTAACTGTTCTTAATGTGTCCCGCCAAAGCTTACTGTAACGAACTTAAATCCTAAACATTATGAATTTGAAAGTTTAAATTTATATTGGTTGAGATTGGAAAAGTAGATTTGTATATTTGATAATTCGATATCATTAGTACAATTTAATTCAAGTTTTATAATGTATTTTAAATCTATTCGGGATTATTATTTAGTAATTAAGCTTAGAATATGTTTAATTGCTTATTCTGGACTAATTTGTCTCTTATATAAAAATTAATAATCCTTGTCTTTAAAAAAGCTTATCGTATTGTTGCAAAACTACCATCAGGTGTTATTTTTAATTGCACAATTTCCAAAGAACTAAATCTAGACTTTCGTAAAATTAATTCCTGGCTCTCCGGGAATTTTGTCTCCGCAGGAAAAAAATAAAGAAAAAAACAAGAAAAGTAAATTTTTAAAAAAAATTTAAAATCAAATTTCCGGAGAAATTGAGGTCGTATATCACATGACTGCGCCCTCGAATGGTGGTAACACTGGGACTGTTCACTTATATGGACCTTATCTGTATAACTCATTAGGCGTGTGATTAAGTACTGTATAATAGTTAAGTGATAACATTACTGCCTTATCATCGTCCAGTAATTTTAATATAACTCTCTTGAAATGTCACATAAACTTTATTATTGATAATTCAGACGTACAATGAACAATTTTCTTGAAGGCACAGGTTCACTATCAACTTCAACACTAATCAATGGTACAAGTGGAAGATAAAGAACAAATGATATAAACAACGCAAACTTAGCACAATTAACACAGCAAGCAAAAAATAAATAGCTAACAAACAATCAATGAATAAAAAAGAGTAAATTATACAAATGATAGTTAAAACGAGCGAACAATTTGATGATAAGAAAAAAAAAGCAAACATAGTAAATTAATTAAATGTCGTAAAGAACAAGAAATTTTACTAGCTAATCGTTAACAGCTTGATCAAATATTATTATGTTTTAAATTATTTAGTGAAGAAATTTTCAAAATATTATAACCTATTTTGCAATAAACAATTTTAAAAGTAACCGATCTAATAATATCTTCACCAAGAAATAACAATTTCAAATATACCCGACTTAATAATGCTACCCAGAAATAACAATTTTAAATATATCTTCACCTATCAATAAAATTTTAAATATATCCAACCTAATAAATAAATAACATGTTTTGCATTTAAAATTTGCACGGGTCTAATACCCGTACGATAATTATAGTTAACTAACTGTTTATATAAATTTATAAACAGTTTTATGCTAGTTATAACTGTAAAATCAACTTATGGACCAAGCATCAGGTTTGCTTTACAGCAGACCGTTAATGTTACACATATTAAAACAGATGAGGGATTATATCCATCAATTTAATTTGTGATTGATCACAGGCGAGAGGGATTCACTTTGGATCGGGCACTGTCTCTGCTGTAGGCTTGCTTGCTACGTTATTTTTGATAGTGTTTTCGATGTAAATATGTTTTGTGTGATCATGTTCAGTGTGATCATGTTCTGTAATAATTTCGATGAGATCATGTTCCAATCCACATAAAAGACGTCTGATTTCATGATTATGCCTTTGAGTTAATCTTATATCTTCTATTTTGAAACAATGATCGGTTTTTCTAAATGTAATTTTTTTAAATATTTTCCAAAAGTTCTCTTTAATATCATATCTATATATTTTTCTAAAGCTAAGAAATTTCTTATTATGCTTGGTTAAATATTTCTTAAAATTACATTTCTTTTCAATAATTTTTAAAACAAGTTTCATTGCTTCATCATCGTTTTCTGTTTTATATGTATCATATATATATGTAATATACTGTTTATATGAGTTACTAATTGCCATATTTTCATCGTAGATTTTAGTATATTCTCGACATAGTTTAATAAATTTAGGTTCTTTAAGTTTCAATGCCTCGTCAAGATTTGATGGTTTATGTTTTTTATATTCATCAAATACGGTTTTTTCTTGTGATTTTGCTAGGTTCGATTTGTTTTTTATATATTGATTTAAAGTAATTTCTTTAGCAACAGTAATAGCCAAATCAATAAGCTTACTCTCGTTAGAATTGTTAGACTCTTTATTGTTACTATTATCATTTACATTTTTATTAACTGATCCATCCGCATTGTTACTGCCAACCCCATCCTTGATAATTTTAGGTTTCAAGTTTGTATGTTTATGGCAAGGGAACAATTTTTTATTTTTCTTAATTTCAGATTTAAATATTTCAATAAGTATATCTTTATCAATACTCAAAATAAATTCTTTTATAGTATCATGATTAATAGATTTAAATTTTGAAATTATTTTGTCGATAATAATGTCTTTAAATCTCTCAGCAAGAATCACAACGGCTCTGTAATAAACTTTATCCTTTTCTTTTTCTTTCTCTGTTTCTAAATTTTCTTTAAGATATAAATTAATCAATTGATATCCACGAATACTATTATGCTGATTAGTATGTTCTACTGTCTCGTCACTTTTAGTTTCATGTTTCTTTAAAAAATCTTCTATAATTTTTTTGTTTTGATCATCTGTTTCTCCAAAAGAAATTTTTCGGGCAATAATCACAGCAAGCTTAATATTATCAGAATGTGTATGATCATTCCATTTAAGCATTTCTTCGAGTTTTGTAATAAAAGATTTACGAGCATTGTTATTTTCTGTTTGTTCGGAAATTTCATGAGCACTATTATTTTCATCATTCCCTTTGGGTTCCTTCTCAGATGTAAGATTGCCATTCCCATTAGACCCATTGAGCTTAGCATGTATTGCAATAAGATCATTAATTTCATTAGTATTACTATTTCCACCGCCTCCGGGTTTTCTAACAAGTATCTTAATAAGTTCATTAAATATTTCTTTATCCGTTTTGGGATCGTTGGATGGAGTATTTACGAGTATTTCAACATGTTCATGACAAATTTCATGGCCGGATAGTTCACAAACTTTCTTGTCAAGTACCATAACAAGTTGCAAGATAGGCCTAGCATCAATTTCTGTTCCAAAAAATGTCACGTCATCATTTCCAGTTCTAAATTCGTCAAAATACATTTCGTAAACATCCTTTCCTACTATATAAGTTCTCTTCATTAACAAATAAAATAATGCTATAGGTGCTAAAAGAATTGATCTAGGTATAAAAACTATACATAAAAAAATTCTAAAAAAAAATCCTCCACATCTCATTGTTGTTTTACCATCGTGATCAGTATCATCTGCGCTACTCCAATGAATATTGGACGCAATTTCAAAAAATTCTATTAAATGTGATAAGGTTATATTGATAAGCCACACGGCCCCACTTACAATTATACCTATAGCCAAATATATACTTAAATTTGGAAAAGGAATATCTAAAGGGCTGACACTAACGAAAATTGTGATAATTGCCAAAACGATTACAAGTAATGACATTAAAATAACGAACCATACACCAATTCTCCTTTCTAACTTGATAAGATAATTAATACGGGTTAAAAATTTTATATAGTTTTCATGCCTTTCTGTTTTTAAATCTATCAATTCCTTATCTTCTATAGTTATCAATTCATGGGAACCTTCTTTCCCATCACTTTTCATAACTTGAAGAATTTTTGTAATGTTATCTTTATTTGCTGAAGCCTTATCCATAATGGACTTTATGAGAGCTAGAATACCACCAGCGGCAGTGACACCCGATGTCGCAATTTTTAAAACTTTATTGGTGGCATTGTATTCCAAAATTATTAATAAACATATTCCAATTAATACGGTGAGTGAAGCTGCTGCAATATGTCCTAACATTAAACTCTTCCGATTAACTAAATTATGTCTCGCCAATTCCCATTCTTCTTTCAATCTCAAAAGAACAAACTTTTTTTCGCGAATTATTTTAAGGTCATCGCTGGATAACTTGACTTCGTTAGTACTCATTGTAAACTAGTGAATAAGATAAATATTAGGGTTAGTTCCTCTTAAATAAAACGTAAAAATTTATAGATAATTCAAATAAAAATTATATAGTAATTGAATACGCGTTACATTTCACAAACGCCCAGATTTCTGTGTCACACTATTGTTATTTTTCTAACTATGCGTATGCATAAATATATAAATTCGACGCCTATATGCATGTACCACACTATTACGGCTCGTACATACCGGTGCAAGAAATCTAAAAACTCAATCTCCTTATAGAAACAAAGTATAAACATAAATAACATATCGAAAAATACTTTATTTCCGAATTTCAGTATCAATAAAGTATGTACATAAATACTTATCGAAGTCGATAATTTAATTTCATGTGCTAAATACCTTGGAATCATTACTGAAATCATTATGGACAGGGCCGGAATTACCTAATTTTGCCCAAGATCACTAAAAGTTTTACTAATGAAGTGATAATTTTGGCCCATAAATGGTGACTTGTTTTTCTAAATAACCGCCTAAGTCTTTTTTTATAAACGTATTGTATGTATAAATAAAACGTTTAGTCGATAAATTAAGAAATATTTAATCTCAATGTACTAATTGATTATACATAAATTCTACATCTAAAAGAATTATGATTCTTAGACCGTTGCGCCATACATAATTTGATTCCATTATAAGGTTTACATTAATAGATACATGTTGTCATGACATGTGAAATATAATGAATTTGCATATCTGATATTTTAAAAACACAATACGTACGGAGAGAAAAATCTAAGAACCAAATTTTCCTTATATTGATAAAGTATAAACTAGTAGCATGTTGAACCAAATCTGTATTTCCTAGATTATCAGCATCAGTAAAATGTGCGTAAATGCTTTATAATTAAGAAATCAATGCTTTATTAAAGTCGATAATTTAAGAAATCTATGCTTTATTGAAGCCGATAATTTAAGAAATATTTGATTTCATTTGTACTACTTAATTTTACTTAATTTTACTCCGGAAAGATGATGATTTGCTAAATGTATAATCAAATAACTCATGGATTTTTTACAGGGGAACACAAAATTTCTGGATCGGTCCATCGGATAAAAAATATTGTGCTTCTAAGATTCCATTCATGTTGAAAAAAGTGAAAACAAATTCTGGAATCAATATGAGTCTGTTCAAGTGTCACGCAAAATAATCAGCACTAAAACTACACTTCCAAACCTTAATAATCAGATTTGCTGATGTAATCAATTCCGGGATAACTTTGTACATTTTAAAGTAATTTTTAAAAACTAATGTTTCACTATATGGCAGTCGAAGGTGGACCCGTATCATGGCAGAAGTTTGTCTGATTAGCTAACAACTTCAACTTAATTTTACATTATTTATACAGTTTAGAGGACTTTACAAAAAAATGAAACTATCCATAATGAAATAAAAAAAGCTGTATAGAAGGTTTCACTAGAGCTGTAGGACTCCATAACTATAAAAAGATCTAATCTTCGTCCGTTTAAAGTAGTGTAGTAATAACTTCTCAAAACCCGATAAAATCAATTTATTACTAAGCTAAATTTTTTAAACGGACGAGAATTAGACTATGGAGCCCTAGAGCTCTAATGAAACCTTCTATACACCTCTTTTAATTCCATTATGATTGTTTTCGTTTTTAATAAGTACTCCAACTGTATAAATAATGTAAAATTAAATTAAAATTATTTGCCAAACAGACGAGTTTCTGCGATAAGGACCCGCATTACCCGGTCGATACAGATACCCTTATGGCAAGAAAATCTCAGGCTGAAGATCAAAATATTACAGGATCTCGTGTAACAGCAAAACATAAGTAATCGTAAAAAAATAAAACGTAAATTACACAAAAATTTACTATGACAATTAACGGCCGGCCTCTAAATAAAAGCTTTCAGAATGAATTTTACTCATAGCGTACAGTTCTTAATGTTAAACATATAGAGAATTTTTGAGATATTACAGACCCATATTTTTTTGGTCTGCTGCTCAGGATTTCTTGACATAAGGGATATATTTTTACATTTTTTTTGGCCAATAAAACGGGCAGAAAAAGGATAAGACCAAATGATAAAAATACAATTACATAATCTAGTTTAGTTGCATTATTACTGTAAATTTATTTTATTAGACATAGAAATTTATTATAATGACTAGGGTGGTAAAAAAACATTTATCAGCGTTTTAAAACATGCGACGATTATGATCCTAATACTTTTAAATTTAGACTCCTCACGTAGATATTCAAACCATAAACATCACATGTTTTAAAACGGTGAAAAATGTTTTTTTTTGCCATCCCTAATAATGACGCACCCTCATCCGATAGTAGTTAATTCAACCAATAATCATTAATGTTTATTGGTGGTCAAATTTTGCAAATTTTGGGGTATTTCATAAATTCGCCGCATATTGCCATAAATAATTTTTAGATACAAGTTATATACTTAAAAGAAGGGACCATATATAGGACCCGGTATAAAAAAAGTGGCTTGTTTCGATTTTTACATTACACCTGATCTTAAAATTCGATTGGTCAAAATTACAGGGGTGGACAACTTTTCGTGAGAATGCCTGTTGATCTCTCACAAAAAATTAATCAAACATTTCCCCCTAACGTGGCTTACTCCTAACCCCTAAGGATTCATTACATCTGATCTTTCGATCTAATTGGATTAAGGATGGGTTCAATCAGCTACAGTCAATTACAGTCAGCTATTATTCGTTATCACTAATAGCCGGCTATAACCGGCTATGGCCGATCAGTGTCTAAAGCAATAGGATGATAACGCCGGAAGCTCGTTGAGGCAGGTGATAGGGTTGGCGCAGTAACGAATTAACGGCTATGTCGATTAACCACCTAAAATGGGTTTGCCGGCAGTATACTGTATTCGGTGTATACTCAGTATCGGGGTTTTAATGGATATAAGTGTAATAAGGGGAATTGGCGGGATCAAGTATATAATTAAAATAATCAGTATAAACATTATAACCAGTATAAGTATAGACATTATAATTAGTATATACGGGATAATGAATATAAGTGCTATATCACGAATAGTGTATAACGTGCCTTATGTAAAAGAAAGTGTATAATAAAGGTTTCGAGTCCTACGAAGAAAACATTCGTTGTTCGTGATACACATAAAACTCGACCCCTAATAATAAAATCTTGCTTTCACTATAATACTTACAATCATAAACTATCCACTCGCCAAATATAACACGCGCTTTTTACTAAGCCTGACTTGTAGGTTACACAACGTATGCGACTGATACGGATCAGCCCGAAAATACTGAAGATCCCGTAAACATGACATTTAATTGGCCGATATCACATGGCGGCTAGCTGGTCAGCTATGTCACTCTAGTCAAACTATTATCGCTACGGCTATAGTCGGTCAGCTAGCCGACTATAACCTAACCGAACCTATCCCTAAATTGGATAAGAGCAGGAATCATAGAACGATTTATTTAATTGGCTGATGTAGAATAATTGCAAGGCAATTTATTTATACATTTCAAAATACTTTTTAGTAACGTAACGTCGTAAAAGCAAATTCTAGCTCTAAACGAACATTAATATTCATTGTTAAAATTAATTCAAAATTTCTACACCTTCAAAAACTTTACTTATAAGTAAATATTTTTACTATATATTGCTAATTCTAGTTATGTTTAGCATTAGCGATGGGCAATGCGAACTAGAGTTAGTTACAGTCAGTTATCAGTCAGTTATTAGCAGTCATTGACTCATAACTGACTAATCACAATTATTGATTGATCATATAACCAGTTATATAACTAGTCAAATAACTGATTAATAAATATTCAGATATTAGCTAAGTTTGTGATAAAACTTTTCTATCCATCCAAGTTTTAATTAAATCTATGTTTATATTTAATCAGTATTAGTATCAGTATTGATATGCAATATAATGAACTACTATATATAGTGTAATCACAAAAAACCCTCTGGATTTATAATTTATGTGACATTATCATCAATTGCATTAAGCATAAAAAAATAATAATGATAACAATTATAACTTATATATTGTGTAGCTGATAATAATTTTGAATATATCAATCAAATATAAGCCATAAAATAATGTTCAGTTTTTTTGATGGTTATGCTAGGAAAGTCCAGTATAATGGTTATTATTGTAGCTGTTTTATTGATAAATTATAAAGTAAAACTTAAAACTAAATACTATAATGCAAAATAAAGTTATTTATATATGATCTTTAAGATTACTAGCTTATTTTTAAACATCTTTTATTGCACTTCTAAATCATAAGAATCATGGTTATTAGGTATGAGTGTTATTATTAAATTTATTAATTAATATGTATTATCTTAATTAAAATAAATTATTTTATTTATAAATATTAGATTATGTAAGCAAATGCTACATATGTTTAACATAAAAAAAAAATAATTAAACTTATTATTTTTAAATCACTTATTATTATGTAATATAATAACAAACATTATAATAAATTAATAATATTGCTAAAATAGTATCAATTAGGATTCTAACTAAGCAGTCACAAACCTTTTACTAATTAATATCAGTTACAATTATAACTAGTTATTGACCAGTTATAACTGTAACTAACCTATCTCTAATGTGGACATGTATATGGTCACATGCATGATTATGCACATCATACATAGTTTTTATATTAAGATGCTCTAAATCAGTAAGTTTGCCAGTAAGCAAGTTTGATTCAGATTTTGTTATTCAAAGATAGTCTATATTACATTGAGACTATTGTTTTACTATATTAAAAATGCAATACTTCTTATTGCTTTAAGAATACTAAACAAGATGAGATGTGATTTTTTTACTTTATAGATAAGTATTTTTCTTTAATAATGATTCTTTATAGTTACTTGTAAAAGAATTCTAAATTTGAATTTGTATAGCTATGGAATTTTATATTTGTTTATTATTACAATTATATATAT